ATATGTAGGCCCATGATATAAGGTCATACCTGACCTTATAATGAAAAAGAACTCGATGCGCTTGATTAGAACGAACTATAGTTATACATTTATGCATTAAACGTACTATCGTGCTCTTTTGATCAGCCGAACTGTAAAGGCTAGTCATTGATGAGGGTCTTGACCGCATTTTTGTTCTCGGTGGAAGTGGCTCTCGTTCTCTGACGTAGACTGTGCGATCACCACTTCGCCTTCTGAGGCAAACCGCCAAGATAAGGAACAATAGTAGAATTCCAACCAATGCCATCACCGCGATGAACCAAATAGTCTCATAGAATGGAGCCGTAGATGCTTGACTTGTAGGAGCTGGATCGACCACACCTAATAGGCAAAGGTATATTTTMCATAAATGACAGTTAAAGGCAATTCAAACTAGCGATGACCACTAACAATGCTGTACAGTGCAAACTATCATGTTTGTTCCTGCTCCAGTATACACGATGAAAATAAACCTTTCTATTTGTATACTTAATATCCCTCTCCCATCCAATATTTGAATTCTTAACAGAGTTGAGTTGAGATACTTCGCGCACTATGATTGGGTGGGGGTGTGCCGCTGGGACATCAAAACCCTGACCCTGTTCCAGAGAAAATTCGTTGAAATCGATAGCCTGTTCCAGAGTAAAATCGCTAATCAGAGTAAAATCTCTGAAAACGATAGCCTGTTCCAGAGTAAAATCGCTAAAAACGATACCCAGTTCCAGAGCAAAATCGCTGAAAACGATACCCTGGTTGGCGGCACGAGGAGCACAGTGGTGACATCATTTTTGTAAAAGATAGATGAAAATTGATCTATATACAGATAGGCTATGCAATGTTCGAGTAAGGAATAGTTGCTCTAGAACGGAAGAGGCATCAGAGAAAAGATTGGAAGCACTTCCTTACACCTCCAATCATATCACATTCACCATGCTATTGTCAATTCCCAGAGTGCTCTATTACCGAACGGATCAGTACGAAGCCTCTTTTTTCACGAGCATTACCTTCACTGGGCACCACCACGTTAACTTTAATAGATCGTGCCGTTTTCCTTTGACCATTGACAATTGTTGTGGCAAGAACTTCATAAGTATATTCTAAACACAAGAAAAACACAATTAGCTAGTACATTAATAGGGAGTTTACTTAGAGAGTGTGGRAATAATAGTGAAAAAGAAAGTCGCTGCCTAAGGTCCATTTCAAACGCCAATTCTAAATGGATATGTAACACTAATAATACTTGTACTCCACCATACTGGATGGCAAAACTAATGTAAACAATTACCTCAACCGTTTTCATGGAAGAGGCCTATTCCTCAGATTGCTCGTGATATTAATTGTGGGTTAACACCAGAATCGATGTAACACAAAGCATGTGTGTTATTTTTAAGGGATGGAGTATAAATTCCAGAGCAAAGTCGAAGGACAATGTTTCGTGAGTAAGGTAAACTGTTACTTTCAATGAGCCTTAAAGCTATTTTTTTCTCTACTTGCTCTTTCTTACACTGGAAAAATCGTTCACTTTAAAAGGTTGTAAATTTGATGTAAATATTATGTAAGTGTCCAAAATGATGTAAATTTGATGTAAATTTGATGCTTAAATTTGATGTAAATTTACATCAAATTTACATCATTTTGGACACTTACATAATATTTACATCAAATTTACGACCTTTAAAGCGCGCGATTTTTTCCAGTGTTATTTCCTTTTATTTTGAATGTGGATAATAGGGTAAATTTCGAACGGACGGAAAATCCGACATTTGAAGTGTCCACTAAACATAAAATGTGGAGTTATCAGTATTAGAAGATAGTTTTAATAATAATAATAATAATATCACAGGTATCTATACCTCCTCTTTCCCTGTTGGGTAAATTTGCCGCTGTCTTTTCCCCTAAGAAGACAACAATTCCCTTCTCTAGCAACGTGTAGCCATCCAATGGTCCGTTGAGAATAAAGCATTTGCTCCAGTCTACTGTCACGTGATAACCTGTCACGTTTACACGTGGCGGAGAATTGGGCCGAGTCACAGGATCTGAAATGGTTCATAAACATTTTTTTAGACATTTTGATTGTAAATGGTTATTCCAAAAGGGTTGTTGGAAAGATCTGCGAAGGAAARTTGCCATAAGTTACTGCTACTGCCTCTCAGGCTTTGTTAGGTATTGATTACTGACTGACGGCGATATATACCCATCAAAGGCAGCCAATATTGATTTTATAAATGAAGATCTTCAATGGAGGTTTATCTGATTTGCTCTCGTTTTTCAGCARAAGAGCTTCTCTTTGACATTAACTTTTTACGAAATACCTATATTTATCCTAGCATCTACACTATAAAAAATTCTGATATTTTCTCGAACAAATATTAAGCACTCGCCTTCAGGTAATGTCCTGGCTGCTTTTGCCTCTGAAAGGCCAGAGAATTTGTCGTTATAGGCACGAATAATGAAGTCATAAGTGATGTATGGATCAAGTCCTTCAACTGTAGCGCTAGTTTTCAGGCCAACGTCAGTGCCATTTTCAGGGACCTCACACGACGATGAACACGACACTCGATGCAGGGCTTCGTATCTAAAAAAGCACCAGTCATGTCAGTAGTATTCATTTATAAAAGTCAAAGATATTCCTAGTTGAGCTTTTGCAGTAAGAAAACAGTTTCTTGCGATAAGAGGATAGTACTGACTGATATGACTGACTTAACCAGTTATACTAAAGGTTAGCTGGAATATTCAACAATTCCAGACAATGCAGCGAACATTTGCAAAATACAAATAATGCAGAACAAATATAGTACAAAAAATTACCATTTTTGAACAAACCYTTTCATTGATATTTGTGCCTCAAAAACATGTAATATCCTCTATTTATTCATTAACAGCCCATGTGCAAATGCAAGAGATCTGTAGTTTGMAATCTCRCGAATTTTATCYAAATTTCTTTTTTGCATATTTTTAAGTCAATTGAGGCTAACACAGKGTAAAAGAGATTGCGTAACTCAACTATTAAAAATTAGAATACGTTGGTTCATTCAAAATGCGAGTTCCGCTYAATAGAGGATAGCAAGATGAAATTTCCATTTATCAATTTCATTTAAGGTTAACGTTGCTTTCACCTTTACGCAATAAAACTCAGTTTTCCAGATATTTTAAGTGTTTTCTTCTTACCTTCTGATTACACCATTTGGTTTTGAAGGGGAATCCCAGGAAAGCTCTACCGATCTTGATGACACTTTCACTATTTTAGGAGCAAGGAAATTCGTTGGTGCGGCCTCTGTTGTYTTAGCATCTGCTTGRGGACTTTCAGTACAGCCAGCGTCAGTGCAAGCGTACACGCTGACTTTATAGTTCTGGTAAGGTAGTAAGTTACTAACAACCCTTGACAACTCCATACCCGATGATATGTTTTTCCCCGATACTTTTACGACATAATTCCTGATTTCACCGTTAGGCTTAGAAGGCTGTTTAATGAGCACTTCCAATCTATCTGAATACGTTTTAATTATTTGCGGTTTGGGAAGGTTTTCAGGGACATCGGTGAGAGTCTTGACTACGGCCCATCCACTTGACGTTGACCCAGCGCTGTTAGCTGACGTTACTCGATACTCATACTCCGAGTATGGGTCAACAGTATTGTCAGTAAACTCTAACGTAGTGCCATTCGTTGCATTATGAATGGCACTAACCTGTCCATATGACATTTGTACACCCGAAGGACGGAAAACCTGTCTTCGCTCTATAACGTATTTGTTTATAAAGCCGTTAGGCTTCGCGGGCTTACTCCATGTGATGAGAACACTTCGTGCTTTAATCGATTCACTAGGGAATACAGGATAACCTTGAGAGAGAGGAGCTGCTTCGTGTGTCCTTGCTTGTGCACTCTCACCTACGCTACAGGCGACACTTGTTGTGCAAGCTTTAATTCGTACTGTGTACACTGTATACGGTTGAAGCCCGACCAAAACAAGTTCTTTAGCCAATGAGGCGTCCTTTTCTTGGGTGTCATAGAGTACATAATACTTGCTTATTACTCCATTAGGCTTTCCTGGTGCAGTCCACGACACACGTATGGATGTCGCACTTATGACAGTTAAGACTGGTGCCGTAATATTGTCTGGTGCTCCCGGGTTCGTTGGAGCATTACGTCCAACTGGACTTTCCACACCACCTCCAGCCTTATTGTACGCTGTAACCGTATAGCTATATACAGTGTATGGTGCAATATTGTAGTCATCGTAGCGAACATCAGAACCATTGTAAACAACACTTCCATCACGGGTGAGAATGTAATACTTAATAACACCATTTGGTTGAGCAGGAGGCTTCCATTCCACGCGCACGTGACGTGGACCAGCTACGGTAGCTACTGGTGCTTCCATTTGTCCCGGCTTTGATTCAAGAGTACGTACTGTAGCACTCTGACTTTTTGTACAGCCTACCCGTGTGCAAGCCTCAATGTAAAAAGTATATTCGGTGTAAGGTTTTTTGCTGCTAACAGTAAAGCTCTGGTCCATTCCTGTATAGACAGGACTTTGCGAAGTGCTTTCATACACTTTATAACTAGTTATGACTCCGTTAGGTTTGGTAGGGGTGCTCCATGTAATGCGAATRGCMATATCACTCAGTGCTKTTAGAACTGGTGGACGAGGCTGTGCAGGCGCTGYTTCATCAGTTCGTTTTAATGTGGGTTGACTTTTAGTACATCCTCCACCACTACATGCAGTAACAGTGTAGCTATATACTGTATATGGKTCTAGTCCAGTATCAACAAAATAGAACTTGCTGCTCTGGTGTGTTATACTTCCATTACGATGGACTAAATAGTACTGCATCACGCCGTTGGGTTGCTGTGGTTTGCTCCAAGTAACATTGAGTTGATTAGCACCCAGTGTTATAACAGTTGGTGGATCTACTGTACTTGGGGGTGCCTGTTGTGTATCTACAACTAACCAATCGCTGTCGGTTTGACCACCATTGTTAACAGCTCGAATCTTATACCTATATCTGGTATATGGAGACAATCCAGTATCTGTGTAAGTATAYGAACTTGCATTGGTTTTATTAGTTGAGTACACGATGACTTCATTAACTGAGCGTCGACGTCTGGCTTGAAGAGACGCTGACGATCGAACGACACTAAATCTTTTAATAACACCATTTGGAACAACWGGAGGTCGCCAAGTCAGCGTGACTACAGTATCATTAACGAACCCAACTGTTGGAGGAGCTTGACCTGTGGGATTGACTTCTGCTGAATAGATCGTCTGCTTATCTCCTTTGGTGCAACCCGCAGCTGTACAGGCTTCGAGCAAAAATACGTACGCTGTATACGGCGTCAAATTTGTCACAACATACTCTCGTGTTTTTCCTTCGTATATTTTAATGTCATCCTTGTAAATGTTATACCGAATGATAAGTCCATTAGGACTTCCAGGAACGTCCCAATACAGACGCAACGATTKTCCACCGCTTAATCGATCTGCTTGTAAGGATTTGATGTCACTAGGCGGTGCTTCCTGTGTTTTGGCGGTAGTCCATGAACTGGAACCTTCACGTCGTCTGTTAATGGCTGTTATCAGGAACTGATAGTCTGTATTTGGTTTCAAAAGATTAACAGACATGGTGAACGTATTGTTATCGACTCTTCCAGCAACAGAAATGTTCCCGTCAATCACGTTCAAGGTCTGGTACCGAAGCTCATAATACATGATTATACCATTTGGCTCGAGCGGTGCTTGCCACTTGGCAGTGACAGCAGTAGCATTGAAAACGATTACCGTAGGTTGTTTTATCCCTCTTGGTGGCCCTTCCAAGGTACGAACACTATTCCAGTTTCCAGTTCCCGTGCCACCCTTGTTGACGGCCAGAATCCTATAATCATATACAGTAAAGCCTTTGAGGTTATTCTGGCTGTCCACACAGCTCCTTTGAGCAAGGGACACACCCTTCGTTAGGCATACTATAATCGGCGATTGACTGCCTTTTCGACGCTCAACTTTATATTCGGTAATAATACCATTTGGTGATGYAGGCTCGTCCCAAGATATGATAATAACGTTCCATTCCTTAGCCTCCAGCTTTGGAGGATTAATYCCTGTGGCAGGTGCTTCTAATGTCGTTGCGTAAGCACGATCACCAATTCCACATCCTTTGCTGGTGCATGCCTTGACTCGAAAAGCGTATTTAGTAAAAGGCTTGAGTCCCCCAATAACTTTGCTTTTCTGCAAACCAGAATCGTGTTCTTGCTCATCAACGATCAAAGCATAACTGATGATGACTCCATTAGGCGTTTGCGGGGTATCCCATTCTGCATGTATCTCAGTCGCAGAACGAGGTGTTAAACGCGGTAAGGGTATTCCCTCGGGGGTGCTTTCAGGCGTCTGTATGTTTGAGCTACTGCTCTTGGTTGTTCCACCCTTGGTAGAAGCCGCTACTTCATAGGTATACACGGTTATGGGCTTTAATCCGGTATCTTTGTAAATGCACTTAATTTTATTTTGAACTGTCTTAGAACAAACATCAGTGCCATTATATACAACAGTTCCGTTTCTGTACAATGAGTAATTGGAAATGATCCCATTGGGAACATCCGGCTCAAACCAACTCGCTTCGACCGCTCGTGCTCCTGTTGCAACTAAAACGGGAGCTCTAACTCCCTGTGGTGGTGCTTCTAGCGTCAACACCGAGGCAGGTGGACCGTCTTTACAACCAATTACGGTGCAAGCTGCCACTTGGAAGGTGTAATTTGTGTAAGGTATTAAATTTTGWACAACAAGAAACATGGTGAGTCCCTTATCGTTTGGATTCAGGCGTACTTTATAAGTGGTGTTAATAACTTGACTAATGTTATACTGAATGATCCTTCCGTTAGGCTTAGGAGGAAGAGACCACGTGACGTTGATGYTGGTTGATGATATCGGTATAAGGGTGGGTGGACTAACTACAGATGGCGCAGCTTCGTCGGTGTACACAATAACAGTTGATAGAGCAGTGGCACACTCTGTAGTACAAGCTTGAAGCTCATAGATATACCCAGTGAAAGGCTGCAGTCCAGTGCTATCAATAAAAGCAAGCTCTAGCCCAGTGTAAACCAAAGTTCGTTTGCTAGTTTGCTGATTTATACGTGTCAGCTTATATTCCTTAAGAATTCCATTCGAAACRAGAGGCGCTTTCCACGTGACCCGAATTGCTGACGCCGAGATGGCTGTAGCGACAGGTGGGTCCAAACCTTCCGGACTAGCCATTAGGGTCTTGTTCCGTGCATTTGGACTTGTGGTGYTGCCCTCACCATTCATACCTACTAAGTAATATTCGTACACGGTATGAGGCAAGAGGTTTGTATCTTTAAACGTACGGATGTTCGGATCKTTAATATTCATAATGACCTCCTGGAAGTCGGACGCACATACTTTGGGTGTAGTTGGAACTGACGTGGGYTTGAAGTAACCTTTAACGGTTCCACAGATMTTGACACTGGACGAAAAGTTACAACGATTGCACTTTGCTGAACTTTCCTGAGAYTTTGCACAAACTACTCCTGTTCCACAGTCGGTGTCTCCTTTGTCAGGCCGATCTGCACAGACTTGATGTGAGCTATTGTAGGGTTTCGTGTTACAGCAAGACATACCAGATGGGATCTTGTTTGTACTGCAACAATTCTCTGGTTTGTTGTTTTTCTCAGCGCTGCTACTGTAATTATAGACCTACGCAAGAAAAAGATGCGTTCATTTATGTTGAGGTCAGAATTTCTCTAAATTTCAGTAAATAGATCCAGAGAGCTTTATTCGATAATTATTTTACAGCTAATGGGTCTGAATTGAAGTGATTGATTACAATAAATCATTTATGAATACTCCTCTTGGGGTCCATACAGCAAGTTCTGACTGATGGATGAATGACACTTATATTATCAAATACCTTAATGGCATTCAGAGGTCCTTTGCAGCAAAGGGAGGTTTCATTYGWCACGTAGTGAGTACCGCAGCAGGTTTTGCTGGCATCCACATCATACGCTTTTCCTGTTTGCTTATCTCCGCAACAGATTTGRGCGCTGGCAGCCACCTTTCCACCACAACACTGTCTAGCAGGGGTTCTTCCATATAGACCATCACAGAGACAGACCTAACAAAAATACATAATAATGAGTTTCTAAGTTCCGTTAGAGGGAAGGTTTTGGAAGCAAAATTGATGAGAACACAAAGTTTAAAGGCTGTATACTGAGCAAATTACTTCATAACCACTTTTATTACATGTAACTGTTTTTAAATAGCACTTAAAAGTACATTGTGGAGACGAGACTCGACAAAGATCATTTTATGGTTTGAATTGTTTTTTTTGATTCCAGAATTCCCGTTTCCAGCATTGGTTTTCACCTATAATTAGTTTTCTAGGTAGCACACCGATGATTATTTTCAAGGTAGCATTGCTCACACTCACTCAGGTGCCCGTCCACTCGTGAACGGCTACCGGTATTGAATGGCGKTATGTTCAAGACGCATTCACACCGTAGCATTCCCAGGTTCAGTGCCCGTGCACAAGATCTGGAATACTCTGGTATGACCAGCAATTCCTGACTTTTCCCTGCTGCTCCAGAGAAATGTTTATGCGGCCACCATCAGCAAAAGTACCGTATATTCCTAGCTTTCAGTTTTAGTTTAAAATGTTGGTATGAGAAATACTAATCGGTAGGGCTTGTTTTTTTTAGGATACACAATTCAAAACGTCTAATTCATTACCTTAGACCCATTGATAAAATAAGGTACGTCACCACAGCACGARTCACCAAAGCCAACTAGAGCACCGCCATCAGACCGCTGACAGCACACGCTACCAGAGGGCACCCGCATGTAGTTGCCATAACAACATTGRAAGTCATTTTGCTTTATATGGTATTTATTGCCGCAGCACACGTCATCGGGATTGTTCATTGTTACGTAAGCACTTCCACAGCATTGCTTCTTCGGGTTATTTCGATCTCGTTGGTGGAGAACCCCATTGCAACAAATCTAGAGAAATAACAAGATAATTTTGATAAATGGTTTATGCGGAAATACATTGCTTAATTGTGCTTTTTTGAAATACGTTGTTTTCCCGACCAAAAAAAAGACCATACCAAAAACAAAAGAAAACACAAAAAATGTTGGCATTGCAATAGCTATAAAAACTTTAATCTTCTCCGATCGTAGGCTAAGCCTGTATTCCCAGAAGACCTAGAGTTTGAGCCATCTGGAAATACAGGCTTAGCTTCAAATCGAGAAATCAAAAATCACCATTACCTTATTGTTGGGGTCAAAACATGTGCTGCCACACAGTTCCTGTGCGATACCACACTCAATGTAGGTACATTTAGTTACTGGTGGGGGAGATGTAGGGCAAACAGAAATCTTGCGCCTGAATAGTTTATACTGCGCCATTACACCATTAGGACGAGATGGTGGCTCTGAAAGTAAAGCAGTTTGATATATCAGCTTATTAAACTCCTCAAAATATTAGATATATTTTACTTGGTTATAGACGTAGTCACGATATCTAGCTATTCAATAAATGCRGCTGCCATGGGTGGTCTAGTGGTTAAGCTACTGGCCTCTAACCGCTGTGGTCCGGGTTGGATTCCCGGACACGGACCATATGTGAGTTTTAGTTTGTTTGATGTGTTGTTCTCTCCCTTGCCACGAGGGTTTTCTCTGGGTCCTCTGGTTTTCCTTCCTCAGTAAAGACTCAGTAAAAAACAACATGTGAGGAGTGTTGTGTGCACAAATACGTAATGCAGAGGTAGTGAGTGTGAGTGTGAGGGCCACAAGTTCATCATTTTTTTACTGTCACGTGTTTATCCTCTTAAAACAAAGTCGATTTATCTTATTTATTTATAACCACACCACTGAAATTTCGAACTAACAATATGACTGAGTCTAAGACTTATCTTCTTTGTTTGTATGTCCTTACCCCAGTTCACAATAATGTAGTTTGGTCCTGGAKTTAATTGTGGCGCAGCAAGACCCTCTGGAGCTGAAAAAAAGATKATGTTAGGTTTAACGTTGATTAGCGTGTGGTAGAAAGACTATTAAAGTTAGAGGGGAGACAATACTATATGTCATTCTAAAATACAATGGCTTTTTACCTGCTGGAAGGGTTCGTTGTGATGCCACAGGACTCTTAGTACAAGCATAAACTGTACAAACTTCCACCTGATACATAAAAAATGCTATCAGAATCAAATATGTATTCTTATAAGAATAGCAAACAAGACTTTACCAGTATGTTATACACCGTGTATGGTGTAAGCCCGCTTAATATTACTTGTGATGAACTCGCAGATGCGTTTGCCGCATTCATGCCGTTCCTGTTAAAAYATGGATGAAGAAGTTTATCATGAAGTTAGTATATCTATAGTTCAAAGGTCATTTCCCCTTCTGACGTCATGTCGGTTTTGGCGAAATGCATCATGGTGTCTATATAAACATCAAAATGACCGATGTCTTTTAGACATTGATGTATGCCAAGGCAACTAGAACGTACTCAGCATCCTATAAACTTACGCATAAATCTTGTAGATGACTATTTTGCCATTTGGTGTAGTTGGAGGCTTCCAGCTGACTCGTATTTCTGTGCTACTTRTATCAAAGAGASCTGGCTTCTCAAAGCCCTCAGGAACTATGAAGATATATCAAGAAATGKAAGTTTTTAKTTTTAWTGYTTTAAGRAAAAAATGCATCGATATATAATACAAACCTCCATCCATAGTTCGCTCCAGTACCCGTTGGCTAGTAGCATTTCCAGCTTTATTGTYCAATGTTACCTACAACAAAAATCAAGCCATTCATAATTGTGTATTCACTTAGTCGTTTCACGTAGTGTTTTCCTCCGCTTACAGTATGCGCTGATAGCCTATTAGTAGATTACMCAATAAGAAAAGTTTGTTGATAATTTAGCTTTCCCTGGCCATGTGTCTGCATATCACGAATAGTTGGATKYGAYGGTGTCATGTGATATTTCAGTKCATATCAMCTTTCCATCTCTGAGTCATAAGGAACACACTAAATGCTTCCCCCATCCTACTACCTAAYGATATTTACGTCATTTATCTTAAAGATAACTAATATTTGGTATTGGCTTTTTCKCAAAAATCAGAATGACATTCCCAGAAAGTATCGCAATTCAATACTCTAGCAACTTTTYTTATTTTTGAAGGGAAGGGTTAGGTTTAGGGTTTYGTGTTACACTGGAAAAAATCGCGCGCTTTTAAGGTTGTAAATTTGATGTACATATGATGTAAGTGTCCAAAAGTCTGTAAATTTAATGAAAATCATTTACATCAAATTTACAGATGATTTTGGACAGTTACATCATATYTACATCAAATTTACAAGCTTTAAAGCGCGCGATCTTTTCTGTTACTCGTTGGGTTTGCTTCAATGGAATGTCATCCTTAAATTTTACAAAGTAACCTCTTCTCTAATATTTACCCAGAAAYGGTAATTTGTACTTGGAATCAGTCTCGTCACGGCRAAACTTTTCTGGTTGCCTGGAACYGAGGCATATCGGTGAACTGCACTATTAACCGAACTGATGATTTGCTCATAATAAACGGTGTATGTCTCCACGGATCCTCGAAGAAGTGTAATGTCTGGTGGAGACCATGATACTATCACTGTAGTGTGATTGACAGCTGATGCATTGACCGTTGGTCCGGCCAATGGAGGAGCTGGACCTGTGCGGTGGTCAGCGGTTGGGCTAGTGGCACTGCCAGTTGATGTGATTACGGTAACCTAGAATATTCAGACAYAGAGTTTTAGGATAAAAAATGGACATTACAACATGAAAAGAAATTATCATTTTAATGGTTTTCTTTAAGAGACAGACACTTATTTTGCAGTTATAACTTTAGTCGAAGGATTTAATTAGTATATAGATACTACTAGACAAATTTCTGAGTTCTCAAAATTCCCTTCGGGTTTAGCTCCGACGATTTCACCTTTTTGAGACTGACAATGTATTTATGAATATGGTGTATTCATTTAATRGGATGTCTGCATTCACTGCGTTTGTGAGTAAATATTGCTTTCGATGACCTATAATAATTCAAGGAKTTTTGACTGTACAAACCTTATATCTTTGCAGAGAAAAGATGGCGAGYCCTGTGTCATCATACGTACGAKCAATTYCTGAGTAAACCMGGGTAAAATCAAGTGGCATAGTAAAGTTCACATTGACAGGTTCCTCGATTGTTTTTCTGTACAATTCATATCGCTGAATAGGGCTGTTCGCGTYTGTCGGTGGATCCCATGAAACACGTAAAGACGTTGACGATAAGGGTTGACCTGTCGGAGCGGGTTGACCAGACGGCTTCTCGGTAAGGGTTCGTSTGTTTGTCGGTGGACTTTCGCCACAATCACCAATCGTACAAGCACGAATCACAATGCTAAAATGTAATACGTTTATTCGTGAAATGAATTGAAACTTTCAATTTTGAAAAGTGACAAAACATGGAATGAATAAATGAAAAAATTAAAGGAAAAATGAATTAAGTCACCTGTAGACAATAAAAGGCTTCAGTCCAGTAACAGTAAACTGAAACACACTTGAGCTATTCATGGAGTAGTTGGCCCCAGTCTGCAATACTCGAACATAGTAGTTGATGACGTGGCCATTAGGAGTACCTGGCGCACTCCACTCAACGAGAAGTGAAGACGAACTATTTGCTGTTACAACTGGAGCTTTGATGTTTTCAGGATCTGAGAATTCAAAATGAAATTGATCCATGGAATAATGTATCAAAGTTCAATGAAAACAATTTAGAAACAAAATGSTCAACCTTCTTTTTACTATAAAGTGTTGAGGAACATGCAGTTTTCAATGGAAACTTTCACAGCACAATGCCCAACATTCAAACTACACTATTGTTTTATTTTTCAACAACAAAATATTCTAAAGCGGCGGACTCTATGCACTGATAGTACTCCTGCACAACGGGCACTGACGCGTCACGTGGTCGAATCTCAGSCAATGATAGGAGAGAAACATGCTCATAAGCRCMTTTACYTACCTCCYTCTCCAGTCGTAACATTAGAGTATTCACTGGGTGTGCCACCACCAGCTTTATTGTAAGCAACAACCCTAAACTCGTAGAACGTGAATGGCTGGACAGTTGTATCGACGTAAACACGTGCACTTGAGGCAWTGACCGAGGCTATCTTGACTGGCGTCTGCTGTCCTGTTGTACGGCGGAATATCGAGTATGACTGAATGATACCATTGGTTACATCAGGAACATCCCAACTTATTTCAACTGATCTTGGTAACAATGCTCTAACCACGGGTTTATTGAGCCCCGACGGAACTGTGGAAACAAAAATAGGTTATTTAATTCATTAGCTTTCTGTACAACCACTCAACCGCAACAGCGTCGACAAGTTACTCTGAACGCGAAGACAGAGAYATTAGAAAGTGAGCTTGGTCATGTCCATGATGATTTGTTGAGTCCTCAGAACTTCTTTTATTTCCCCCTCAATATAGGAAAGCTTAATTTATGAAGATATTCATTTTTACATAGTTTTCACGCTCTTTATTAGSCTGAGGACTATGAAGCCTTTCGCAACTTCTTTGAAACCCCATGACGCAATTTARTTATCTTTCAAAATAGAAAACTGAAGGCACAAAGGTTGCAGGGAAAATAAAAGTAACTTTCTATTCGKGTACACTCAAATCGTATGAACTAGGTCTTGAATATAACGCGTCTTCTCTATAAATCTAATGTAATTGGTTTGATGTATTCCTCAAATTATCACCCTTACCTGATTCTAAAGTCCTTCTTGGTTCAGAATAGTCGCTTTGCTTACAGCCAACACTTGTACAAGCAGCAATGGAAAACGTGTACATGGTAAATGGCWTAAGATTGGGTACTCGCAACTTTGTAACATTCCCTGTTACATTCAGCAACATACTTCCATTCATATAAATCACATACTGTACAATGATGCCATTTGGTTTGGTTGGAGGGTTCCAGTCAAGATCCATGGCTTCTGACTCAGGACTTAAACGTGGTGCGTCTAGCTGCCCAGCAGGGACTGAAAAGTAGGCAGTTTAGGAATTAACAAAAAAGCCATATCTTTATAGGATGGCTTGATATACTTACCATCTTCGAGTGTTACAACAAAAGTCCAGTTTCCATTTCCGGTTCCGGCGGCAGTTCTTGCCGAAACCCTGAAATGATATTGAGTAAATGGTTCCAATCCAGTAACAAGGTATGATAATTTATTGCCATTGTATAACACAGTCGTGTTTTTGTCTGTCTTCTGGTGCAAGGTGTAACCAAGCAACACCCCATTAGGGAGGAAAGGTGGTACCCAGGTCACATTGATTGATGTTGAGCTGAGAACTGTTGCTTTTGGCGGACTTATACCATCTGGGGCTGAAAAAACAGTACGGTAAATACTTAAATGCTGCTGTGAACCTTCGCGACATGGCTCGTTAAGATAAACGCTAATAAACTACAAATCATTGTAAATATTATAAAATAAAGATACTGATTTTATAAGAACTGTTTGCAGTATCTCAGCCTCATCACTTACCAGCCTCTGGAGTTTTACCAGATATTGTGTTGCTCTCAATAAACCCTCTGCTGTTAGTAGCATTAACCAAGAACTGATAGCTACTATCCGGTAACAATCTGCTGTAAATCCATTTTTTGTCAGGTTCACCCAAAACACGTTCACTTCGCACCTCGGTAGCCATTACAGCAGATCCATGGATGATAAATCGCCCTTGTATCACCAAATAATAAGAAACGTTCCCATTGGGCATTGCAAGCGCGTTCCACATGACCTCTACTTGTCTTGCACTTATGATGGTTGCCTTGAGTTGGATCGTGCCATTAGGAGGGAGTTCACCGCTATAACCACGTGCAAGTTCACTAGGGTTACAACCCTTAAAGGTACAGGCCCTTACGTAAAATGTGTGCAGGCTATAAACTTTAAGGTTATCAGCGGTGTAATTGCTTAGTGCACTCACATTTAGAACTGGTGATTTCAGTTTATCTTGGTAAAGTTCGTAGCGTGTTATTATACCATTAGGTTTTCCTGGAGGTAGAATCTGGACAAAAATAGCATAGGGAGAAATTGCAGTCATTTTAGGGGCTGGTATATCGCTTGGAATGCCAGAAACAGTTCTTGCGGAGCTCGCATTACTGAATGYCCCACCGCCTCCAGAAAAGGCTTTAATCCTGACATAGTATAAAGTCCCTGTTACCAAACCAGTTATGGTTGCACTAAGATCGCTTCTCGAGCCATTGTAAACTACTTTATAACCAGGTCCCAGAGGCTTAGTGAGAGATATATGAATYTCGTATCTTGTGATTACACCATTTGGCTTTASAGGCTGATTCCATTCCACGCGCATGGAGTCGTTACTTAAAACATACAAAGTMGGGACGGAGAGTCCTTCTGGGGGAAGCTCTCCTGTACGAATGGTAGTTTGAGGACTTTTTGCGCATCCCTCAATAGTACATGCAGTCAGCTGAATAAGGTACGGTTGGTAGACCTCCAGCCCRGTTAGATTGAAACGCCGTTCAAGACCTGTGTATCTTAGTACATTATCCACAGTAAGGTTATATCTCGTGATGATCCCGTTTGGACTAGAAGGCGTAGACCAAGTAAGCTCCAGCATTGTCGGATGGCGAATGGCGGTGGGAACAGGCACCCCTTCTGGAGCTGTGAGTAATAACATARTATTTTTGTTACATTCGATGAATAAGCTCTTTTATACACCTAAYTCTAGCCAGCTAGCTGTGTACAAAACCTTCTTAAAGYAAACAATAAGACCTATCTGATAGTGTAGTCATTTGTTTTTGCTCCTCAGATAACCGACTTCTTTGGCATCAACCCGTCATTTTACTAAGCAAGTAATGTATATGGAGCTTTRGGTGGGAAAGGGGAAGGTGAGGAGAATGGAAATATGGTACATTAAAAAGTAATAACGAAAAATCCCAACAACTAAACAGCGTTTTTTACAGACTACCAAAGTTATGATTGTGTAATATACATAGAGTTCAAACAGTAAATGTGTGCAGCAATTTAACTTTTTAYAATGACTAAATAGTGCTAACTAAACAAAAGAAAACAATAGAATTAGCATAATTTAGCAGTACCGTATTTAAGTTGTAATTTTAATTTTTTGAATAACTCTAATGTAATGGGATAGTACCAACCTGCTTGCAAAGTAGTTTCATTGACCGACGGTCCAGTACCATTACCTCCCGCTGTGAATGCTGCTATYTGAAATGCATACTGTGTATACGGAGTTAGACCAGTAATTGTTGCGTTAAACAACTCTACATCAGTGACCTTCTGAACGACCTTGTTATTTGAAGAATCAATSGCTATGATTTCATAGAAAGTTATTAAGCCATTGGATCGTGCAGGACGAGTCCACGTCACTCTTGCAGAACGTTGAAAAGGAGTCACACTCGCTGGAGCCGAGATCCCRCTGGGGGCTATAAAARCAAGATTGAATGGATATTAGTGCAAGGAAATTGTCCAATATCAACAACATCATCATGCCKGGGCATCCTGGAACCCCAGGGGTAATCTTTTCTCACTTGTTTCTTACTGATTCCTCCGGAAATAATACTCCTGGCCACGAAGTCTGTTGGAGCGTGTTCTCGATTCGAAATTCAAACGTCGCCTCCAGTAAATTGATAAACGAATCACAGACAGAGGTTTCGATTCAAACTAAACTTTTTTATTGGCTTATTATATGAACATACGTACCTCCTGGACCACTTGTTGAATATATCCAAGAACTTGCGGATGATCCAACCACACCAGGGTGAAAGCTTGACACACGAAAAAGATAGTCTAAAGCACAATAAATATCAATAAATTACCATAATACATTTTTAAAGTAAWTTTTCAAAAATAAAACTTACTATAAAATGGAGCGACTGTTGAATCAGTAAACTGTAAAGAGGTCTGTGTCACAAGTGTTTTTCCGCCAAAGTCTAAGCATGTGCCTCTTTGCAAAGATGCATTTATCGCTGCGTTGGTAACACATCCATCCAAGTCCGCATTTTTCATCTCAATAACGTCACGGCTAATAACAAATGGATTTGATGTTTGCAGATTCCTCACACAACCGCTAAATGTCGAGTCGTGGTCAATACCAGCTTCCTTGACTTTCTGTACGGCTTGGTTGTCTTCCAAAGGTATTCCACCGATGTAYAGTTTCGACTGGAAAGTTAGGCCGCTTATGCCTGGTTGGGTGTCAGCTTTACCATTAACAGAGATCACAAATACTTTACGAGCCGAAGCCAGTTCAACTTTATTCCAGCTACCATCACACAAATTGTTGCTTTGGACTTCTTGAGTCGTGGTGTTGGAAGTGCCTTTCAGTTTAAGAGTTATTTTTCCATTCGTTAAGAACAAACCGATGTGTGCAGACGGTCCATATGCAAATAACAGTAATCCGGATTTGATTTGAGTGCGAAAAGTGATCTGAAAAGCAAAAATTGTGCCTCCTTTGAACAGATCTGCTCTAAATGCGATGTAGCCACCGCCAAGTAGTAAAACACCTGGGCTATTTGTTCTCACCGGGCATCCTTTCGTATCATCTTCGACGCCTGATTTTTCTATTGCATTTTTCCACTGAATAATTGTATTTCCTGATTTGATATTTTTCAGACAACCAATGAAGTATAGTCTATTCAAAGCAGCGTCTCCAGAATCAGTTCTCTTGTAGTTGAACCCGTTGGGTAAGCCTCCTATGTAAACCGATGGATATCCACCAATGACAGCCGATCCCGAGACACTATTACCACTCCCTGAGTACTGGCCATCAACACTTATTGTACCAGAAGTACTACGCCGGGTTAGTTTAACATCATGCCATTTATTGTCATCAAATCGTACATTACCATTGACAGTGAAGGCTGCTGGTCCTGACTGACAATCAAACACAAACCAGGGTTTTCCATTACGAAGCTCAACAGCAAACAAATCCTCCTGTGAGTTTTCAGAGACCATGAAAAGAATGAGACCATTTGGATGTTGAGTTCGGAAAGATAATTCGATATCGTTACGGTCTCCTTGTGTGACAACATCAGAGGAAAACTTGTAGTACCCAAGACCAGGGAAGTGGGCTCCCTGTGTGACTTCCTGTGGAGGCTCGTTGAAAGCGGCCGGTGCACGCGTTACATTGTATGAAGGAGGCAGAGGACCGTTAGGAACTTTAGGATGGCTCCAGTTTAATGACACTGAATGAGAACTGACCTTAATTACTTTTGGAGGGCCCTGTCCAATTGGAGCTGCAATACAAGATAAATTTTATGATGTTATAGTTATTTGGAAAAGTTGTACAGCAGCAGAATGGTAACTTTTTGTCTTTCGCCAAAATGACATGAAACTCTGATGTAGTTGAAGGACTTTTTCAACGACTTCAGTATGAATCTATAGCTTTTTCAGGTAAAAGAAAATGCACAGAAAATTCTCGGCGACATAAACTCATATAAAAAAAACCTGTATGATTTCCCTAAAAACATCGGACCCAATCATGGTATAATGTGGTCCAGCTGAGAGTTAAAAAAACATGAACATTCTGAGCTACCTACCAGCTGCTAGAGTTCTTGTGTTGGAGGTACGTGCACTTTCGCCAGTACATTGATAACTATTACACGCAGTAACAGTGAAACTGTAGGTTTTATATGGCTCGAAGCCGMTAACAWCAAGTGATCYATCAGTCCCGTTAGTCTCAATYCTTCTTTCAGGTTGGATAACCTTCACAATGTATCTTWTAATCACTCCTTTGGGTGAGCTCGGAGGGTTCCACGTGACTCTAATAGATGTGCTGCTCACTGGACTAGCCTGTGGTTGAATGGCAGACTCTCCAGARGGAACTGMAAAACATAGTACAGCCTTAGTTTTATCATAATTGTACRACTTAAACAATTGATCGTATACTCCTGAGAACTACACAGTGGAAATTAAGTGATTGTTTAATAGAGGATGGAAGATTGGATAGARGGTGAAGAGAAAAATTGGGGCTACTTAGTACTAGCCGTTGTCGCTGAATCTATCAAAACRCCATAAATGCTCGGAACGCATCGGTAGGAAAAAACAGAAGAAAAAGAATGGAACTCCTGGGTTTCACGTTATGCCATCAGATGACGATAACAGAGTATTCCCTCATTAGCTTCGCTTGTTCATTCATCCAACATGGCACCGATAACTTTGTTATTTAATTCCCGTTTTGTGGGAAAGTCAGACTGACTACTTGAATCGGTTCGGGTGAGGTTTATTGCAACTGTGAGTTATTACACTTGCACGCCAATTACGCTAATGAATAGTTATGACGCACGCTAATTAGCTATTTGCATATTTCTAACACCCGTGGTTGAAACCCAAGAATAGGTTGAATAAATGAAAAGGGACTATAAATTGTTATTGTATCATTAAATGGAAAGGGACTATGTTATCGTGGTAATAAATGGAAATGACTCTTGTAGTATTACAATATATATAACACATTATTAGCAGATCTTCACAATATGTACATACTATCATTTTATGCACTTACCTCCCTCAGCTGTTCTTATTCTTCTCCATTGACTACTAGTAACACCATTCACCTCAGCTACGTACGCAGCYACACGGAACTCGTACTCAGTGAATGGAACMAGACCTGACGCAGTCATGTTACGCACATCTACAGGACTATTTGGTACGAGAGCGATACCAGGACCACTGAATGGAGAGGCACGCATATACGCTTCATATCGGAATACGTTGCCATTAGGAACCGGYGGTGGATCCCAAGTTACAATGACCGTTTCTCCACCAGGAACAAGCGTGATGTTAGGCATTGGTTGGAAATCTGGCGCTGTTTCACGAGTTGTAACGATCTTCGGCTGGCTTCGACCGCAACCACCATTATTACATGCAAYAACAGTGAAATTGTACGTCGTGAAAGGAATCAACTTAGTCAAATCGCAACTCAATATCATTCCACGACAATGCTCTACTTYGGATGARCTTCGACTATTTACGGAGACAAGTCGGTACTGTGTGATTTGTCCATTTGTAATATTTGGTTTGGTCCATGAAGMTTTAGCTGACCGAGCCTTTATGTCCKTTATRCTGGGAGCTKCAATTTGYTGTGGTGCGTCTTCGGGTGTTTTGTAAAACTTGTTGTCATTGTAGCTACGAGTATGACCCTTTTCTGTGTAAACTTTTATGTAATAATAGTATACTGTGTTTGGTGTTAGCCCCGTGTCATTAAAAGCTCTTTCAAGTCCAGTATACACCAATGAATCATTACGGTAAAGTTCAAATCGTATAATTACTCCATTAGGATTGTCTGGGTTGTTCCATGTAACTGCTAAGGCTCGCGAAGACAGGA